GGTGAGGTGTAAACACAACAGGTTTTACTGTGGTGAAAGTAAAATGCTTCAGTAATTTATATTGATTGTTATCGTGTAAATTTTATATATCAAAATAATTATGAAAAGGCTCAAAAAGATAAACAGGAAAAGAAATGGGCAGTTAATATGACCTTAAGAGAGGCAACCACAGCAATGATAACTTTAAGAGGGAGGCTATTTCCTTTTTGAGTCTACGAGTGCATATAGTAATTTAAGTGAGAATATAAGACAGAAGCCAGGCTTCAGCTATACGTGAATTGTGAAATTCCAGATGTTCAAGCTGGTTTTAGAAAAGGCAGAGGAACCAGAGATCAAATTGCCAACATCCACTGGATCATGGAAAAAGCAAGAAAGTTCCAGAAAAACATCTATTTCTGCTTTATGACTATGCCAAAGCCTTTGACTGTGTGGATCACAATAAACTGTGGAAAATTCTTAAAGAGATGGGAATACCAGACCANTTGGACTGCAAGAAGATCCAACAAGTCCATCCTAAAGGGGATCAGTCCTGGGTGTTCATTGGAAGGACTGATGTTGAAGCTGAAACTCCAATACTTTGGCCACCTCATGCGAAGAGTTGACTCATTGGAAAAGACCCTAATGTTGGGAAGGACTGGGGACAGGAGGAGAAGGGGATGACAGAGGATGAGATGGCTGGATGGCATCACTGACTCGATGGACATGGGTTTGGGTAGACTCCGGGAGTTGGTGATGGACAGGGAGGCCTGGCGTGCTGTGATTCATGGGGTTGCAGAGTTGGACACGACTGGGCGACTGAACTGAACTGAACTGATAAGACAGAAAAAGAGACTCAATCTTAATTGTAACTCTGTAGGATTTTTTCGTTGGACTAGTGTCTATAGCTTTGATTCAAATAGGATTTAAGTTTTGTTGATTTAATGCCATTAGGTGATGAGTCTTTAGAGGAAAGCCCTGTGGGAATACTTCACGGCTTGTGAGAGAATGATTAAAAGGAGAAAGCCGACTTAGTCACCTCCAAATTACACAAGGAGAAGAAAACCCAGCACCACATATCCCCATTTGCCAGAGCCGTCATCGGTCCAGGTGTGACAAAAAACAGGCAGAAAATTCGAAGTGACTGGGGGAGACACAGAGGTTGGGGGTGACCTGCTGCCCTCCCGGCCTCCGTGGAAGGTGGCTCTGGAGAGGGTACCTGTGCCGTGGATAGCCTAGGAAGCACCTAGCCCTGGGAACTTACCGGCTGCACAAGTGCTGTCATGCTTTTCTATCTGTAATACGAAAACTGTGATCCTCAAAACTGAAAGAACACCTAACTGATCTGCGGTGACGTTTACCCGTGTGTTCTGCGGTAAGACGTCTCTCTCCCTGTCTCTCTCACCATGCTGTGCCCAGTGTTCTATTCTTGAAAATGATTTACTCATTCATTTATGTATTTTTGACTGTGCTGGGTCTTCGTTGCTGAGTGCCGGCTTTCTCTGTTTGCGGGTGGTGTGGGCTTCTCATTGCAGTGGCTTTTCTTGTTGTGGAGCACGGGCTCTAGGCGCAGGGACTTCAGTCGTTGCAGCATGCAGCCTCGGTAGTTGTGGCTCATGGGCTCAGTTGCTCCATCGCATTATGGACTCTTCCCAGACTAACCAGGGATTGAACCTGTGTAGCCTGCATTGGCAGGCGAACTCCTAACCACTGGACCACCAGGGAAGTCCCAGTTTCCCCTTTCAAAACCAGCTGGTCTCTCCCCCACCTGCCTAAATCCTCCAGGGCTCCCCACAACCCCCTCCATCCCAGTTCCCTCCACCTGGGTCCCCACACTGCCTCACCCTGACCTCACGTTACACCAGTGCCTCCAGGTCCCACTGTCTCAGCCCCTCTGGTCTTGCTGACCCTGCGTCTGTCCACCTCTTCCCCAGGCTCTGCCCAGCTCCTTCTGCCGGGCGGGCCCAGCTGTCCTCTGCCTGGCCAGCTCCACACTGCAGGAACACACTGCCTGCCGCAGGCTGCTGGTCGCAGTACCAGGAGCTCACATTCCGGTCCAAGACCATTCCAGAAGAGCAAGGCTAGAGAGCCCCGTGGGGCCGGCATGGGTTTATCCAGAACAGGTGCCCACTGCCTGTTTTTAAGTCACTCAGTAAACAAGTATTTATTGAGCACCAACTATATGCAACTGGGCTTCCTAGGTGGCTCAGACAGTAAAGAATCTGCCTGCAATGTGGGAGATGTGCGTTAGATCCCTGGGTTAGGAAGATCCCCTGGAAAAGGGAATGGCTACCCATTCCAGCATTCTCGCCTGGAGAATCCCTATGGACAGAGGAGCCTGGTGGGCTACAGTCCATGGTGGGGGGAGGGGGTCACAAAGAGTTGGACAGGACTGAGCGACTAACAGAACTCTTTCACTTTTTTTCTGCCCCCACCCCACCCCGCCCCCCTATGCTACCATATGCTCTGTGCTATGGCAACCCGCTCCAGTAATCTTGCCTGGAGAATTCCATGAACAGAGGAGCTTGTCAGGCTACAGTCCACGGGGGTGCAAAGAGTCAGGCATGACCGAGCAACTATCACTCACAACTATCACTCACTCCGGCTCCAGGCATGCAGGCAGCCCAGAGTTCACTGTGATGGGGTAGGACAAGGGGCAGGCCACCCTTGAGGAAACACACAGGATGACTTCAGCTCAATGCTAGGTGCTGGGAAGACCACCAGGGGCGGCCTGCAGGGGGCGGGCGGGTCAGGGCAGGTCTTCCTGAGGAGGGAACATCTGACTTGATGCCCAAGCAATAAGGCGGGACTGACCCTGAGGCAAGTGGGGATGGTCTTCCAGGGAGAGAAAAAGGCCTGGAGGTGGGAGCCAGCCAGTCTGAGGAACGAGAAGGCCCTGGGGGGGCTCAGGAGTGCGATCAGAAGTCAGGCCAAGCGGGGGCTTCCTCCTGCCGGCCTGGGAAGACACAGTTTCCGGATTTTATTTTAGAGACCAACAGTTGGGGTGGGGGCGCCATCTTCTCCCCTTTGGGGACGGCCAACGAGGCCCAGAGGCCGCCAGCGACCTACTGGAGGCCACACAGAGGGTCGGTGGGTGGGTTTTGGTGGGGGCGGTGGCCGAAAGCGCCGGCCGGCCACGCGTTCCGCCGGCCCCTCTCCCGGTATATTCTGGCCGCAGACGGAAGCGGGCGGGGCGGGGCGGGGCCTGNTGGGAGAGTGCGGGGTGGGGGCGATGAAAGAGACTGGTGACCCCGCCTGTGAGTTCATGAGTGTGAACACGTGTGAAGTGTGAACGGTCGCTTCTGTGCGCGTGTGAGATTGTGAGACCGGGGTGTGGTGCGCCGTGTGTGCATGTGCAGCCGTGGGTTTAGGGGTGTGTTTAGGTATTTGGGGACGCTGAGTGAGTGTGCATGTGTGCGGCAGTGTGAACAGGTGCGTACCTGCGCGTGCGTGCGTGTGGAGTGGGTGTGTGTGTGCACACGTGCGATGTTGCTGGATCAAGGAGTGTTGTGTTTTTTTTTACCACCCACCACCCCCAAGCCCTGTCCTGGGCTGCACCCTGGGCTCTCGTTTTCTCCTAACCCAACAAACTGGCGAGGCCCCATTTTACAGATGAAGAAAATGCCGCCGGGGCCTTGGCCTCCTGCCCAGCTGGCTGAGTCTGAACTCCTGCGGCCGCAAAGTCCACTGTCATGCTGTCACGTTGGCCGGGCCCAGGGCTGCCTCCTTTGGGATTCCTCAAGCCGCAGTGGGGGTGGGTGGCCTGTGTTCCCCCTGGAAGCTGTGGCCAGGTCCGCCCCCTCACTGGTCCCTGGGGCTGGCTGGGGTTCTCGGGGAGCCCGAGGCCCAGAACCTCTTGCTTGGCCTCCTCCCCTACCTCCGCCCTCCGGCTCTGTGCGGCTCCCCCTTGGGGATGAGGCAAAAAGCCTCCTGGCCTGGCCAGTTTGCTCCTGGGTGAGTGGCCCAGCCTGGGACCCTGGGGGCCATTCAGGCGGAGGGGCAGCTTTGCTCAGGGCAAGCCTGGGGGCATCACCCCAGCTCAGTGGAACATCCTGACCTTGTTCCCAGAAATGGTTTTCCTCCCTCACCGCTCAGCCTCCCACCCCCCAGCCCAGACACCTCCCACCCGGTGCTGTTTCCCACAGGGCTTCTCACCTTCTGGCCATCCACGTTGCCTGGCTTTGGCTCTGGGTCCCTTCGATGGGCTTTCCTCGTGGCTCAGATAGTAAAGAATCCGCCTGCAATGCAGGAGACCTGGGTTCCATCCCTGGATTAGGAAGATCCCCTGGAGGAGGGCATGGCAACCCACTCCAGTACTCTTGCCTGGAGAATCCCACGGACAGAGGAGCCTGGCAGGCTGCAGTGCACAGGGTCACAGAGTCAGACACGACTGAGTGACTAGGCGCTCACCCTGGGACGTGGCTGCTCAGTATTTTTGCCGAGTTGCCAAGGATCCCTCGTAGCCCCTCCATGAGGGACAGAGCCCCATGTGAGCATCAGGAGACCTGCCCCAACTCCTGAGCCTCCTCTGTCCAAGGGGTGGTGGGATGGCGTCTTCCTTGTGGGCCCTTTTGGGGTCCCCACTTGGCCCAGAATACCCAGAGCAGACCCCAGTCCTGCCTCCTGGCACAGAGGCTCCACGCAGTCTGCAGGAGGCCCGCTTGGGCTCGGGGCACCAGACTTCTTATCTGGGATGTGCAGGCCCTGCAAGAGGCCTCCTCCCACTCACGGAAGAGTGGTTAGCTCTGGAGTCTGCCAGCCGCCTGGGGTACATGCTGGGGGGCTTAGCTGGCCAGCCCCAACCCTGACTCCCCTGCCCCCAGCACAGACGTGAGTGCTCAGTGGACCCGGACAGGACCACAGGTAGAGTCCAAGGCTTTCTCCTGCCCTGGCAGCTCTGTGCCTAGTCTGTGGTCCCAGCCCCCCCGCCCCTGGGCAGCAGGGCTGGGTCTCCCTTGTGGAGGGCGGATCGGTCTGCACCCGCCCCTCCTCCTGTGTTCCCTTCACCCCAAGCCCTGAGCCAGGAGCCCTTCGCTGCAGGACTTCCTCTGCTCCCTCCTCCTTCCTGAGAAGGGGGTTATGAGGGAGGTGAATGCCCAGATCCCAGCCAGACAGCTGGCGGGCGGGCAGCAGGCAGGTAAGCCTCAGCACAGGGGGCTGGCACCTGGGGAGGAACACGCCTGCCAGGTGGAGGTGCTGGCAGGTCCCTTTGCCCGCTGGGATCTGACCTGGGTAGAGAGGATGGCAAGGTCCCGGGGTGGCGTGGGGGGAATTCCAGGGGGGAGCAGCTGGCAGGGTGCCACCTAAGGGTGGCATGGCTACCCAGCCTCTCTGCTCTGTTGGGCAGGCTGGGGGCTTCCTGGAGACACCCTGGCACCCCATTTTCCTCTCCCCATCCTATGTTATCAGAGGCGGGGAAAGGCAGGTGGGTTCCCTGGTGGGCAGAGTGTGACCTTTGGGGCGCCAGGTTAAGGCCTGGGAGGCAGCTGTCCCTTGGTCCCCCGGGTGGGTGGGGGGAGGTGGTGTGCGTGTGCGCGCGTGTGTGCAGTGCACTCAGGAGCTGGGGTGGGGCCGTAGCCTCGTCTGTCCTGTTTACTCTGCCCACTGTTTGCAGGGGTGGCAGGGCGTCCCAGCTCCTTGTGAGTCTGGTGAAGCCTCCGATTTCCCAGACACAAAGCTTTGACCTTTCCACGGCACCCTTTTCTCCGCCAGCTGTGCCCACTGGGGTTTGGGTCCTGAAGGACCGACTGACGGCAAGAGTCTGCCCACAGCTGCCCTTTAGAAAGGAGTTTGTGCAGAGTCCACCCCTGGTCTCTTCGGTGGCCACACTGTCCGCAGGGCTCAGGGCACAGACCGACTGGCCGCCAGTTCTCACCCTGCCTCAGTGTCCTCACTGAAGTAGGGTGGCCGTAGTCCCCGCGTGCTGGGCTCAAGGACCCGTGCTCACGCGGGGCGGCCAGGTGCGGGGACTGGAGGAAAGGCCGCTGATGTTTACCCATCCATCCCGGGTCAGCCCCTACCAGCAGCGGCTCCAGCCCCACCCCACCTCTGGGAGGCAGGTGTGTCTGGCAGATGTGGAAAGAGCCAGGAATTCAGGACCCACCCATCTGGCCAGTGCCTGGTGGAGGGCCGATTCCCACCCTCCCCCTGGGGGCATCTGGTCCCTTGTCCTGGTTACTGAAACGTTCAAAGTACGAGAAATCAGACTGCAGGGTAGGCGCTGGTGCTTGCCCTGCGTGAATTTACGCACAGATGTTTACCAGGCCTCTGCTCCGACTGCTGGAGGTGAGACACCAGGGCCCTCGCCTCCTGTGTCTGCCATTCTGCATTGTGATCGCGCGTGGGGAGCTGGCCCAGCCGTGTGAGCCCCAGACTGGCATCCAGGGCACACGGAGCTCGTGCCTGGAATGTGCAAGTTCTGTGGGAGGGCCACGGTCAGTGTTGAGGGCTCGCCTTCAGAGCTGTTGACGAATGAGCCTTTTTCATGGCTCAGCACCTGCCCTGGGTTGGCATTTGCGGCAGGTGAGAGATTGGAGGGGAGAGACAGAAATTGGGGAACCAGAGCCCAGACTCTACCCTGGGCCTCGCCGAGCCGATGAGGAAGGCAGCTGGACCATCTCCCACAGCTGAGGGTCAATGAGGAAACACAGAGGAAGGTGCTTTGCAGACTGCGCAGCAAACTGCAGGCCAGGGGTGTGTGTGAGTCACTCAGTCTGACTCTTTGTGACCCCACGGAAGCCCGCCAGGCTTCTCTGGTCCATGAAATTCTCCAGGCAAGAATACTGGAGTGGGTTGCCATTTCCTTCTCCGGGGATCTTCCCAAGCCAGGGATTGAACCTGGGTCCCCTGCATCACGGGCAGATTCTTTACCTGCCAGCCAGAGATCTTAGTTATCCAACCTGGCGGTGCATGCACTTAGACAGCTGTGCTGGGAGGAAGTAAAACTCCAGGGAGCACAGCTCCACTTGGCACTTAATGTCATTTAAGTTTATTTCCAGGGCTGCCAACAATAGTGATTTCCTGCAAATGTAACTTGGCTCCATTTTTTTCCTAAACAATGTTCCCGGTGGATGTGCCTTCCCTGATAGACGTGGAAGGGGCCTGGAGCAGAGGAATCATCAGAGTGCCCCACCCTCATCCGCGGGGAGTTGGCAGAGGGCAGTAGGGGCTCCGGAAGTCTGTTAAGGACTTGATTAGCCAGGGAGGGGCCAGGCAGGTGAGATTTGAGGTTTGAGCCGGACTCTTGGAAGCTAAATAGGAAAGGAATCTGCTGGTTGGATGAGGGAAGAGTGTGCAGAGGCCTGAGGCAAAAAAGGCTGGTGACCGGCTGGTAGGGACCTTGAGTGTAGGCAGTGGGGAGCCGTGGTGGGGGGTGTTTGGGGGTCAGGGGGAGCAGCTGGGGCCTGGCTGTGGGAGGTAGGAGATGGGATTTTGGTGGAGCCAGGGATTTGGGCTATGGGCTCCAGGGTATCTGTCTTGGGAGGAGCCTCCAGAAGAACCAGACTACACAGGACTGGGTTTCATGGCCTTGGGCAAGTCACTTAACCTTTCTGAAAAATGGGGACAGCAGTCTCACTTGTTTTGAGCGTGGTCCCTTGAGGACAGACTTTCCTTATTCTTAACTGGATGATAGTCACGGTGCTGCAGCCTGCGGTTGAAGTGAGGATTAGCTCAGAGGATTCACAGCCCACTCGTGGAGCAGTGCCAGCTCGGGGCCACGTGTGCTCTGTGCATGGCCTTTTCCAGCCTCGAGTCCCCCCCAGCCTTAGGTGGGACCTTCCTGAGGAAGGTGGAGCCTGGAAAGGTGCAGGTTCTCTGCTGAAGTCCTGAGCTGGGTCTCAAACCTGGGTCTCCTGACCCTGGAGTCCTGGGCCGCCAACGGGCCTTTTTTTCGATACTTATTTTATTCATTGATTTATTTGGCTGTGTCTGGTCTTAGTTGTGGCACATGGGATCTAGTTCCCCGACCAGGGATTGAACCTGGACCCCCTGCATTGGGAGCGAGGAGTCTTAGCCACTGGACTGCCAGGGAAGTCCCCCCAGTGGGCCCTAAATGAAATTCAGCGTGGGAGAAATAGCTCGTGGTGGTCAGGACATGGTAGGTGCTGGGTCAGTGAGCAGGAGGCCAGAGACCCTGTGTGTGGCCCTGGGCAGGCCAGGGGCTGGGGAGTGTGTGTGCTGGGGCCAGCTCCATCGGGCCTTCCCTTTACACCCACTGGTACAGACCAGGGGCCCCGTGGGATGAGGCCCTGTCTGCCGGAGAGGCACTGTCGATGGAGTTCTGAGCCCAACAAAAGGCCTGTAACCAGAGCTGCAGCTGCGCAACTTGAAGCCGCTGGGCCGGTTTGGGGGGCAGGGCCAGGCCTGGTGTGGAATCCGGGTACCTGTGTTCTTCCTTTGCTTGTGTTGGGGGCCCCATGAGGGTGGTAGAGAAAGCTCCTGTGTGTGTGTGTGCACGCACGCACGCACACGTGCCCACATTCCGCAGGTTATAGACCCCTCCGTGACCTCAGCCCCCTACCTCATCTCATGTCCCAGCTCCCCTGGGTGGCAGGCCAGTCAGTGGCCCTGACCTCTTTCCACAGATAAGAACACCAAGGTTCAGAGAGGCCTCAGGTACTGGCAGGGCTTCCAGGAAGGGAGGGAGCAGTGAGGCTCGGCCTAGAGAGGGGAGGATCTTCTCAAGAGGTCTGCAGAGGAAGCAGAGAGGCCTCCCTGCAGGCAAGGAACTTGGCTGTGAGCTTCCTGGCGGCCAAGGAAAAAAGGGAACTCGTGCGGGTGTGATGAGATGAATCCGTACAGTCATCTACCGTGAGAACTAAACTCAGGGAGGTACCCTGGGGAGGACAAGTGAACAAGCTGTGAGGCCGTTTTCTTGAGAACCAGTGTTTTGGGAGTACTTTCGGTTCTTGACCTCGCTGTTTGAACTGCCAGTATGGACTCCCTTCTTCACTTTTTATTTTGAAATAATTTCAAACCTACAGTAAGTTTGGAAGAATGCATAAAAGAGCCGTTATATACTCTTGACCAAAATATACCAGATGTTAACATTTGCTGTATTTATTATTGTATGTGTGTATTTTAACCTGTTTGAGAGTAAATGACATTATGTTAATTCTTTGCCTCTAAATCCTTGTGTCTGTCTCCTAAGAACAAGGACTTTCTTCTGCGTAACTGCAGGGCGATGATCAAATCAGAAACATACAGTGCTATTGTCTAATCCCTGGGCCTTAGTGCACATTCCGCCAGTCGTCTCAGGATTGGCCTTCACAGCTGCGTTGTTTTTCTTCCCCCGTGGCCCAGAATCAAATTCAAAACCACACATTGCATTCAGTTTTTCTGTCCCTTTGGCCTCTGTACAGTAAGTCTCCTCCACACGAACCTCGTCCCGTCCCTCGGGGGAAGTGGAGGTTTTCGCAGAAAACACAGGGGTGTAGAGTACGTCCCTTACACACGAACCTTCAAGTTGCAAACTTTCAGAGATGGAACTTGTGTTCCATCAACGTGAGGCGTGAATGCAATCACCTTATCTTGCTCGGCCTCCGTCTCCTCTTGCTGAATCCTTCAGTTCTGCCGTCTCCCACCTCTTCTCCCGCCTCCAGTCCGTAACTCTCCTTGTCTGTTGACTCAGTGCCAGGCCCTGTGTGCCAGCTGTTGTCCTGGACCACTGTACTCTACTGTAAGATTAAAAACTGTTGTCTTCATTTTTGGTTTGTGTGTCATTTGCGTGAGAAGTATTATAAGCCTATTAGAATAGAGTACTACATAGCCGGTTGTGCGAATTGGGTGCCTGTGTCAGACTTAAGAACAAACTGGACTTAACAAAAGTGCTCTTGGGACGGAACTTGTTTGTAGGTACGGGACTTCCCTGTCTCCATTTCCTATGACTGCATATAAATTGTCACAAACCGGGTGGCATAAAGCGATGGAAATTCCTTCTCTCACACTCCGGAGGCCCAAAGTCTGAAATGGGGGTATTGCAGGGTGCACTCTGGAGGCTGAGGGGAGGGACCTTTCCTCCTCCATGCAACCCTCTCCCCTGAATCTTCTCTCTTAGAAGGAACTTGTCATGGGATTTGGGGCCTACAGGCAGAATCCAAAAGGATCTCACGTCCAGATCCTTAGTTTGTTTTTTTTTCCCAGTTAATTAATTTCGGTGTCACTGGGTCTTCGTGGCTGTGAGAGCTTTCTCTTGTCGTGGCAAGCGGGGCTCCTCTTCGCTGGGGTGCCCAGGCTTCTCATTGCGGCGGCTTCTCTCATCATGGAGACGGGCTCTAGGTGTGCGGTGCAGGGACTCCAGTAGGTGCAGCTTGTGGGCTCTAGGGCGCAGGCTCAGTATTTGTGGTGTTTGGGCTTTCGTTACCCTGAGACATGTGGAATCTTAGTTCCCTGACAAGGGCTCGAACCCGTGTCCCCTGCATCGGCAGGCAGATTCTCATCCACTGTACCACCAGGGAAGTCCTCCTTGGTTTAATTACAGCTGCAAAACCTCTTTTTCCATCCCCTGGATCTGGGTGGACGGGTCTTTTGGGGGCCACCCTGCAACCCACCAGAGCCTCCTTTAATCTGGAACCTGTTGCTCAGCCTTCGTTTCTCGTGGCTTTAATATCTTTGAAGCGTCGTGCCGGTGGTCCCCAAGGACGGCCCCTCGGTGTTTCCTCGTGTCAGAGGCTGGTCCTGAAGAAGGCACAGGGCGGTGCTGGCCCCTCGCGCCATGTCAGGAGTTGCCTGGTGTTGACTGGCCCTTTCCTGTGCTGCTCGCTGGTCAGGGTGGGTCTGCCAGCTTCTCTCCTGCAGGGTTGGTCTGAGCGGTCTTGAGGCTGTTCTTGTCTTCTCCTTGGGTCTCGCTTGTGGTCCAGTTTGTGTAGGCTGCCCAGGACACGACTTCCGGATGGCCCCGGGTAGCCGCTGCACCCACACACATGCCCAGTGAGGTCACATGCCTGCTGGGGGACAGCCTGGGTTAGCCGTTTTCCATGGCTGATTTCCATCTTGACAACCAGGCAGTGTGGTTTCTGATCCCCATTTCACAGATGGAGAAGCAGAGCAGAGAGGCTCAGTGGGTTTCCTTCCCAGGGACAAACATAGCTAGAAAGAGCAGCAGGCTAGTTGCCTTTCTTTGCAAGGGTGTCCTCTCCAGGTAAAACCTAAGCAGTTTTATATGGCCATGTGATTTGAGTTTTCTCTGTTTTCAAAGTATTCAGACCACCTCTGAGGGTCTTTGTGAGGCTGAGAGTACGGGGCAGGGGGTACGGGGGCTGGCAAGGAAGAGCCTCTTAGAGCCGCATAGCAGGGTGAGTGTGATGTTGAGGGTGAGGACTGATGTTTTAAGAGCACGGCTGGGGGGGCAGGTGGACTCAGGCTTGAAGTCACGCTCCCCGCCTGCCAGCTGTGTGCCTGTGGGTGAGTCGCTTCGCCTCTCTGAGCCGTTCCCTTGTCTGTAAGGCGGCAGTGATGTTAGCACCTTCTTCAGGGTCATCGTGAGGTTAACCCCCGTGTGGGGCTCAGCACGGTGCGGAGAGCTTCAGGGACCTTGCAGATCACAGTTCAGTTTGGAGTCGGGGAAAGGATGTGCCCAGGGTCACCCAGCCAGCAAGGAGCAGATCTTCCCAGCATCCAGCTCAGCGCCCCGGCTGCCCCTCACACCTGAAGGCAGAACCCCAGGGCTCAGGGGTTTGTCTGTAGAGAACTAGCACTTGGCATCACTTAATGGGGTCAGGGAGATTGACTTGAGGAGGGAGGAGGGGGGCTCCTCAAGGTTAAGCACAGGTACTTGAGAACTTTGTGCTGAGCTTCCTGGCAGCCAAAGTGAAAAGGGCCACATGCTCGGTTACATAGCTTTCTTTGTCCCTGTTCCTCAGGGGAAATGGAGCTTTTCCAGTGACTCAGTAACACAGTGATGGGTTTCATGAGTTTGAGTTTTGTATTAATAGCGTCTCCCAGCTGGCACCAAGATGGTGCCAGGGTCCCTGGGTGAACTGGGGAGAGGGTGTTCCTGGCAGAGGAGCGGTCCGGAGGTGTGGACCAACTGGTGTGTTTGGGGGAAGGGCAGGGGGCAGGCCCTCCGCGGGGCCAAGCTGACCTCTTGGGTCTGCCCTGTCATTTCAGTTGGGCCACGTGGTCCTCTCCCCAGTCTGGTTCGTGTACAGCCTGCTCATGAAGCTGTTCCGGCGCTCCACCCCGGCCATCACGCTTGAGAATCCAGACATCAAATACCCGCTGCGGCTGATTGACAAGGAGGTCAGTGCAGGGCCCGAGGATCATGGGGCACGGGCACCTCTCTTTCCTTCTCAGAATCACAGCATTTCGTGGGCATCTACCGTGTGCTCAGGGCACGGCCCCTCTTGAAGTAGATCCCATTATTTGCCCATTTTACAGGTGGGTCAAGTGAGGTGATGTCCATTTCTAAGGTCTTCCCAGGTGGCACTAGTGATAAAGAACCTGCCTGCCAGTGCAGGAGACATAAGAGATGTGGGTTCAATCCCCTGGAGGAGGGCCTGGCAACCCACTCCAGTATTCTTGCCTGGAGAACCCCATGGACAGAGGAGCCTGGCAGGCTACAGTCTGTGGGGTCACAGAGTTGGACACGACTGAAGTGACTTGGCATGCATGCATGCATGTCCATTTCTAAGGCTACCAGTAAATTACCGAGGGATTTGAGCCCGGGTCTTTGATCACAGAGCAGGTTCTCTGAATCATACTTACTATCCCACAGAAAATCAGAGTGGGAGGGATACTGTAAGGACTTTTGGGTCCAGGTACCCATTTAACAGATGTGAAAACAGAGGGCAAGAGAGGAGTCACTTTGTGAGTTAGGGCTGGGTTGGGACTGAGGCCTAGGCCCCGTGGTCATCCGAGGTGCCGCATCCCAGAGCCCCTTCCTCAAAGACAAGGTTCCCTCCCTTCTCCTACCCTCACTCCCAGGCCCACACACTCAGGGCCCCTGGAGTCCTGCTTCCCCGCGTGTTCCCGTGATCTCACACGTGGCTCGGTCTGCACCTCCGGCAGGCTCACTCCTGCTCTTCCCCTCCGATGCTTTTCCGTCTTCAAACCTCCAGTTGTGGTTTTGATTTCTAACTGTCCTCTCCCCATCTTTGCCCTGCCGCCCACCCTGTAAGGCTGCCTCCCTCTCCCCCATCAGAGCCCCTCCGCTGTGCTATTTCTGGCCACAGGCAGCTGCCTCAGAGGGGTGTGGCAGGGAGGCCTGAGTCACGGGGCGGAGAAAGCCAGTCACCTGCTGCCAGCCTGAACCCCGGGCTCTGGTCTCTGCGCTGGGCTCCACGTTAGAGCTGGAGCGCCTGTGACCGTGGCTGTACCAGGAGTTCTTCTCAGAAGTCGGAAACCAGAAAGAGGCCAAAAAAAAAAAAAAAAGACCACTTCCCAGATAAGACCAGGCTTATATACACAGTTTTTTCTTACTAAAATAAAACCGCAATGTTTTGAATCCTTCTCCTTTCATAAAGTTCTTTTTCCTTGTTTTTTTTCACCACGTGGCTTGTGGGATCTTAGTTTCCCGACCAGGGATTGAACCCTGGCCATGGCAGTGAAAGCCCAGAATTCTAACCACTAGGCCACCAGAGAACGCCCTTGTTACTGTTTTTTAAACCCAGAAGTAGCATATGATTTACATGTGCTCACTATAAAAATTGTGCTTTTATAAAAGAAAGGCGCAGATTTATACATGCTCTGTTCTCGAGCTGTGAATGTTCCCCTCCCCCACCATGACCCCTGTGCAGAGGGTCCCATTCCCGGGTCATCGTGAGCCTTTTCTGGTGTCACATTTGTTACATACATGACATGTGGACATTCAGGTATGTGTATCCTTAGTTTCTCTTTTTAAATAACCTGATGTTTTTACCTGGCTGTGCAACATGGACTTCCCTGGGGGCTCAGACGGTAAAGAATCTACCTGCAATGCAGGAGATGTGGACTCGATCCCTGGGTCGGGAAGATCCGCTGGAGGAGGAAATGGCAACCCACTCCAGTGTTCTTACCTGGAGAATCCCATGGACAGAGGAGCCTGGCGTGCTACAGTCCATGGGGTCACAAAGAGTCAGACACAACTGAGCGACTAACACTTTCACTTTCACACACAGCACAGACACCTTTTCAGGTCTAACCCAAAGCCGATTCATTCTGTTTGACGACTCTCTGGTCTTTTGTCACAGGGATGTCCACAGTGGACCCTCCAGGCCCCTTCGATTGAGCAGGTGGCGAATGTCCTATCAGTTACCCTCCTCCGTTGTAGCCTCCTGGTGGCTTTGCAGGGTCAGCAGGTGGACTTGCTCTTGCTACTTGCTGTGGTGCAGGGAGGGGTCCCAGCTGCCCTGTTCCAGGTGGTGGGCAGGGTCACCCTGAGCTCTAAGAGTCCACTGCCCGGCTTGTCTTGGCCAGCAGCTTCCTGGAAGCAGCAGCGTGCCAAGCCCTCACAGACATTAGCCTTGTGACTTTTGCTGTCCTGGGCTGGAGATTGTTGAACACAGTAATCATCAGGGTCTTTGCCTCATTTCTGTTCTTCCTCCAAAAATGTCTGGCATGTGGGTTTCTGACCTCGAACCCCAGGACTGCTTGATAATCCTGGAATCCACTTGCGGGAGGCCTTGGGCTTCTGTTTGCAGCTGGACTGTGGGGCAGAGAGACCCGCCGGCTGCCAACAAGCCCTGCATCCTGAGTGGGGGCTGGGCGCTGTCTTTCCTGAGATCCAGGCCTCCTGCCCCAGCTTGCTCACTCCAGTGATGCTCTGGCCCTTTGGAGAGGTCTCTTGACCCTCCCTGGGTGGTAGCACTGTCCATCACTGGACCTTGCCTCATGTGAGCGTGAACACAAGTGCTGGACCACTAGCTGCCTTTCTATCTAACAGCCCTTCTGCCACCACCGTCCTGCAGCGCCTGGTGCAGGGGAGATCCCCCAGGGGCCTTCTGGAGCCCAGTCAGGGTCTGGACAGTGGGTTCACGTCCTAGCTCTGACACTGTGGGATGCTTGCCTCCCTGGCCTCTGTTAAGATCAGGCCCCATCCTCGGCCCAGCCTTGGTCCTAAGCCGCCTCTGCCCCACCTTGGAGGGGAAATGGCCTTTGCCCATTGACCACACCCTGGGTGCACATGGCCACGTCCACCTCCCAGGCCGTGAGGCTGCCATGCCTCCTGCCCTCTGTAGCCCTGCCACAGTCATGCCATCCTGCCTTTGGGGGCTTTTAGTTTAGTGGCTTCTGGAGCCCCTCTCTCGGGCCCAAGAGTCACATGGAGCCTTGTCTCAGCCCTCCCCCACTCTGCAGCCAAGCTCTTCCCGCCACCCCAGGACAGGACACTTCTCAAGCTATGGCAGAGGTGGGTCCTTCCCTCCTGCCCCTGGAAGCCCTGGAATTTTGTGGGCCATTTGGCAGCCTCCCTTTGGGATCTGGAGCTCGCTCCTGCGGGTCCCTGCCCTTCTCCGCGCCAACGAGAACAGAGCACTTGCAGTGTTGCTTACCTCTGTGTCCTCACTCACACACGTGTGTGCAGGGCGTGTGTCCACCTGTCACTGTCACCTCTTAGTGACACCCTGGTGCTGGGGCAGAGTGGGGGCTCTGGGTCTGGTGGCCCCTCTGACCTGGGTGCCATCCAGCGGCTCGGCCTCCTTGCAGGTCATCAGCCATGACACCCGGCGGTTCCGCTTCGCGCTGCCCTCGCCCGAGCACATCCTGGGCCTCCCAGTCGGTGAGTGCAGCCCTGATCCAGCCCACATGGAGCCAGCCAGTGCTGGAAAGGGAGACAGGGCGGGGCTTTGCATTTCAGTGAGAGCAGGGAGGGCTTCAAGGAGGTGTTAGCCATCGGGCCTTCAAGGGTGAGTGTCAGAAGGAGAGGGCAAAATACCCCAGTGTTCCTGGCAGTGGCCCCAGCAGGAGCAAAGGCAGAGAGCTGGGATGTGATGGGAGTCCCTGGGGTGGGAGGTGGTGAAGGGTACAGTGGGAGCCAGGGTCAGTCCAGGCTGTGGATGCTGGGTAGCGCGCAGGGAAGTGGGTTGACAAGACCCAGGGGACACTGCAGGGATGGTCCCCGGCCTAGACTCACCCCTACCGCCCTGCAGGCCAGCACATCTACCTCTCGGCTCGAATCGACGGGAACCTGGTCATTCGGCCCTACACACCCGTCTCCAGCGATGACGACAAGGGCTTTGTGGACCTGGTCATCAAGGTGAGGCCCTGGGACCCAGAGCTGGGTGGGGTGGGGGTGACCACATGGCAGCCCAGGTCTCTACGAGGCCCACGCGCCCGAGTCTGGCCTCTGCGGGCCCTGTGCTCACTGAGCCCAATCTCGGAGTGAGGGGCACCCTGTGGTTCTCAGCACAAGCCGAGCATTGGCGGTCTCAGTGGATGGCAGGGGGGCTGGTTCGGGGTCAGTGTCTTCAAACCAGGACAGACGGTCTGTGGAGGGGAAGCAGGCAGGCCCACCAGCTCACACAGGGCCTGCCTTCCCATCACAGACGGGGAAGCTTGGGGAGCTGGGTGCCCGCTCACCCTGGAGAAGCACCCCAGAGGCCCACTGGGGCTGCAGTGTGGGTTTCGTGGGCCCTTGTCTGGGCGCTGGGGTGAGGGGCTCTCTGGGATCCCCCACCAGTCAGGGGCTGGGTGCACACCACGGGGAAGATACAGCCGTTAGATGCAACAGACCAGAGAGACACAGACCACCCAGAAAGGCTCTTAAAAACCAAGACACGTGGAAGGAGAAGTGATGCCTCTAAGCCAGCACATTTTTGTGAAAGTTAGAAACACAAGCTTTATGGCAGTGAGTCACTTTCTCTGATTACACACCCCAAAAGCAGGAAGCTGCCAGAGCTGCTGGTGGGCGTGGGGTGTTAGACACCTTCCCTAGTCAAGGCCCAAACCACACCCCCACCCACAGCCACCCTCGTTCAGAACCCCCTCGGGCACCAGGCTTATTGTCCCAACGCCTCTGTGCAGGCCCCAGGCCCCCTCACTGGACCCCAGGGTGGAGGGTGCAGAAACAGACCCCTGCTGGGCCGCAGCTTCAGCCCCGGGGGTTTCAGGGTCCCGGGCCGGGTGCTGGGTCTGTGAGGGCAGGAAGGGAGTAGCCTGGCAGTCCCGGCTCTGGCCTGGGTCCCTTCTTCACTCGGTGTCACGCAGACCGCACGCCGGGTGCCCAGCCCACCGGGCCTTGGGAGCCTGTCTTTGGCTGGAGAGTGGACACTGAACAGGTGGGCACACAGAGGTCAGTGTTTGTCCAGGGGACGGACACCAGAGCTGGGTCGGGGTGATGACAGCTGTGCTTCCCACCCCCTGGCCCGAGCAGGCAACCGTGAGGCGAGCAGGTGGAGATGGAGGGAAAGGACCCTCCCGGTGCAAAGGCCCTGGGGTCAAGAGGAGGCTTGAGGACTTGAGGGTCAAGAAGGGGAGAGGTCAGCGGGGCCGGGCAGAACCTTGGAGGCCCTGCAGGAAGGGGGGCTTTGTCCAGAAGAAACGGGAAGGTGGTGAGGGTTCATGCATCTCTTCTTGCTGAACTCACCCCAGCTGGATGTGGAGGAGGTGTTGGGGGGGGNGGTCAAGAAGGGGAGAGGTCAGCGGGGCCGGGCAGAACCTTGGAGGCCCTGCAGGAAGGGGGGCTTTGTCCAGAAGAAACGGGAAGGTGGTGAGGGTTCATGCATCTCTTCTTGCTGAACTCACCCCAGCTGGATGTGGAGGAGGTGTTGGGGGGGGGGTGGAATTCAAGTAGAGGATGAAACGCTCACGAGGACCAGGTCCTTCCTGGCTTGGAGACCTCGTGGCCCCCTTGGTTCACCCTTGCTAAAAGTCAGAACGCTGGCCTGGCACACAGTGGGCTTGCCCACTCTCCCCCCCAACCCCAGACACACAGACGCACCTGCTGTCCTGCAGCCACACGTTCTCCCCTCCCCACCCCCGAGGCTGCAAGCCATGTGAGGCCCCTGGCCTTGGCACACCCTGCCCCTGCCCCCTCTCTGCCTGTTGGTCTTGCTTGCCCTTCAAGGCCCAGCACAATTCCCCCAGTGTAGCCCCCTCTGCCCTGGAGCTGCTCCTCCGTCTGCCCATCTCTTTGTCGAGAGTCGAAGCTGCATCCCTTTTTCCCAAAGCTGAAATCCCAAAAGGCACAGAGAAGGAAGTTGTTCCAAGAGTGACGTTTTCATGGCAGCACAAAGCGGAAAGAACTGAACATCCACCAGCAGGGCCTGCCCTGGGCTGACAGCCGTGGGAATCTCCTGCCCGGAGGGGTCACAGACACAGGTCTTGGCAGAACGTTATACATCAGGCCCTCGGGTCAGCTGCTGTGGACACCGGGCTGCTGCTTTGCCCTCCAAGGGGACGTTACGGGGAAGGCAGGCCCCGGGGGTGGACGGGACACAGATAGGTAAGTTTCGATGGGTGGGAGCAGCACCGAGTGAGCAGGCCAGACGCGGCCGCAGAAGACCCTCTTCTGGGGTCTTCCCAGTGTGCCCAGAGCTCTCCCCGGCATCCTGGGGACGGGGGCTGAGGACGGTGCGTGTGTCTTGCAGGTTTACTTCAAAGACACGCATCCCAAGTTTCCCGCTGGAGGGAAGATGTCCCAGTACCTGGAAAGCATGAAGATTGGCGACACAATTGAGTTCCGGGGCCCCAACGGGCTGCTGGTCTACCAGGGCAAAGGTGATCTGGGTTGGACTTCCCAAGCACCTGGCGGGTGCGGTGGATACTGGTGCAGGTCCCGCCCCTGCTGCTGCCTGGAGGGGTGACTCCTGGAGGGCAGGCCACCTCCTCTCCGGGGCCTCAGTTTCCCCAGCTGCTAGGGGTCAAGGTGGCCAGCGCAGGAGTTGCAGACCAGCCTTGGGAGGCACATCCAGCTCACAGACTAGCTTTGTTAGGCTGGAAACAAACCAGGGGAGGGCTGAGCTGGGATCCCCTGCTTCTCCAGCCTCCTGCTCGTCTTGGCACTTGAGCTGGTCCTAGTCCCCCCTTCCCGTCCCCTTCACCTGACGGGCTGGGGCGGGTATGGTGGTCGCCACACCCAAACCCTCGAGATGGGGACAGGGTCTCAGCCTGTCTGACCCCCGAGCATGGTGTGTTTGAAAGCTGGGCCTCATCCTGTCTGCTCTCCCCAGGAAAGTTTGCCATCCGTCCAGACAAGAAGTCCGACCCTGTCATCAAGACGGTGAAGTCTGTGGGCATGATCGCGGGAGGAACGGGTAGGTGGACCTGGAGCCCCGCCTGAGTCCCTGGGGGACGGAGGTCTCGAGTTGGGGGCAGGGTGTGGGACGCCGCACAGGTTATGAGCACCCGGGAGCTGCCTGAGGTCAGGGTTGTCCTGGCTGGCACCTCCCCGGGCATCTGCCTGGCGCTGTGTGTAGGCAGCAGGTGCTCACACCGCGTGCGGGGGTGGTTTGTTTGCAGGCATCACCCCGATGCTGCAGGTGATCCGCGCCATCATGAAGGACCCTGATGACCACACCGTGTGCCACCTGCTCTTTGCCAACCAGGTCAGCGGGTGGTCCTGAGGTCTGCAGGCCCGAGGGTGGGGTGCCAGGCAGGCACTGCTCGGGGGGCTGCGAGGCACTGCGGAGATGCTCAGGGTGGCTGCAAGGTGTGCTGAGTCTTCTGTGCACAGCGGCCTTGCAGCAGCTGGTGAGGTCGGGCAGAGCTAGAGCGTCTGACCCAAGCTGGCCGCTTCGGTGGTGGGGGTGAGGCCCCTGGAGCACCCCCACACCAGGACTGGCTCCCCTGGCCGCTTCCTCGGCACCTCAGCGCTCCCTTCACCGCACGTGGAATTTGGGACTTGGCAGGGACGTGGGAAGAGCCTGAGGGTGCGTCTGCATAGATGCGGTGCAGAGGACACACCTGCACGAGGTCCCTGAGCTGGTGGCGTTGGGATTGGGTTTGGACCTGGGCACTCTGGCTCCAGAGCACATGTCCTCCTCCCCATGCCTGTCACTTGCCTGCCTGCCCTGGCCTGCTGTGTGGCCTTGGACAAGTCATTCTCCCTCTCTGAGCTTCCCCGTCTCCCTGAGGAATGAGCTGATGAAGGCAGGTCATCACGAGGATCTCTCCAGGCTCAGCGTTTCATGACTGAATATTTGGATTTTGCAGTGAGGCCCCTTTGTGGGGAGGCTCAGATGGGACACCTCCTGCCTGTGTGGGGGCTTTCACCAGGCCCCCCGCACCTCTCAGATACGGTTCAGGTCAGCCTGCCTCCGGGTCCGTCTGCCCTAGGCTCTGCCCCGTCCATCTGTGAGGACGCTGAGCCTGGAGGGAAAAGTTCGCCTGCGGTCCCTGGACTCCCACACAGCTGCAGAAAACTGCCCTGAGGTCAACCAGTGCGGCCTTGACCAGGCCCGGGGTGGGTGGAAAGAGCCAGAAATTCCAGGCTGGCTGGTGTGGTGAGAGAATGGGCTGCACTCAGCTTGGTGGTGAGTGCCCAGGTCCAAACCCAATCCCAACGCCGCCAGCTCAGGGACCTCGGGGACCCGAGGACTCCCTGCTGGCCTCTGTGTTGGTTGTAACCTACGTGGGGAATAAAGCAGTGGCTTGTATCGAACGCCCTAACCATGTGGAATTTTCTGCCCTGGACTCCACTTCCTCAAGTTGATCCTAAGGAGTTGACAGGGCACTGAGGATGGTCAGAGAGATGTTCACAAGGGAGGATGTTCAGAACAATTTCCATGCCTCTCCTGTTGCCTGCCTGTCCCAGTGGGGGGCTCAGGAGAGGTCGGTGAGCAGGTGACCTTTGCTGGTTGACAGAGCTCTTTGGCCCAGTTTCACAACAGTCCTGTGAGTCCGTCATACCGCCCGCTGACCGGAGGAGCCAGGTCTGCGAGTGACCTGCAGACATTCCGGGCAAAGTCTGTGCTTAGGAACGGAAAGAGGGCATGTTTCTGGAGTGGATTGCTAACACTCCCCGGGGGTCTAGGAAGGCTTCCCGGAAGAGGTGACACAAGCTGAACTCCACAGGGCCACTTGGGGCTGGCTGAGTGAAATCAGCGGGGGTGAAGCTGGGGAGCTGCAGGCCAAGCAGAGGCATCGACGTGGGCACGGTTGTGGGTTGTGTGATTTGGGGGCTCCCATCTGTATTTCCTAAATTATGGACCTATTGATGCAGCCTAAGATGCCAGAACATGAAAAGACTTAGACTTTCCCTGGAAGCTTTGCAAGCGTGTGGCCCATGGGTGGGCGGGATGACGAGGGTCTCCAAAGACAGTCCCTGTCGCTGTCCCTCCTGACCACTGGGCCCTGTCTGCCCCCCGCAGACTGAGAAAGACATCCTGCTGCGGCCTGAGCTGGAGGAACTGAGGACTGAGCACTCTGCGCGCTTCAAGCTCTGGTACACGGTGGACAAAGCCCCTGAAGGTGAGGGCCTGGGCGGGCCGGCTGGGGTGGGGGCGCTGGCCCACGCCCGCCGCTGCTGCGAGCCCTCTGCCAGGTGGAGCCTTCTGTCCGCGTGGGCTCCCTTGCCCGGTGAGAGGAGGGTGGTTAAAAGAGCGATCAGAGAGGGGAGGTAAGTGCCCCGCAGCGCACAGCGAGAAAACCCCAGAGCTGGGACTTGAACTCGTGTCCACCTCTTATGGAGCCCTAGGCCTCCCCCTGCCTGCACTGCTGGACACAGAAGGCCAGCATTCTCCCCTTGAGCTGTGGCTGGTGCTGGGGACGAAGGGTGATCGTTTCCACACACAGTGCAGTCATCAGCCCTGGGGGGTGGGCTGCACTAATGTACAGCTCCCTTCACTCCACCTGTCCAGGTGCTGGGGCTGTTTGCCAAGGACATATAGGAGGCAGGGAGTGAAGGCTGCCCCCAGACTAGAAACAAGGTTGTCCTCTGGGAGCTAGACCCGCTCCAGTCTCCTGCCAGCGAAAGGCCCGGCCGCGCTGTTAGTTGGAGAAGGGCATGGCAACCCACTCCAGTATTCTTTCTTGCCTGGAGAATCCCATGGACAGAGGAGCCTGGAGGGCTACAGTCCATGGGGTCGCAAAGAATCAACTGAAAAAGACGACTGAATGCACTGTTCGTGGACACTGCCCTCTGGTGGTGGCACCTGGCAACGCTGGAACCAAAGTGCCTCCTCCTGGGGACAGTTTGTTTTTTTTTTTTCTGGGGAGTTTTAAGAGGAGCCAAGTAGTCCGGGCCAGGAAGAGACACAGTTGGGTAGTTTTCTGGTATTTTGCACTTACATTTATTATTACCCTGTAGTAGTTGGAGGGCTGCTGTACCATCAGGTATAAACTGGAAAAGGTAGATGCTGAAAAAGAACACGGTACCAGGCCAGCGTGGCGATTGTGGAGCCGGGGGCCCGCTGATTGTGTTTCCCCCACACAGGCTCCTTCAGTTTACATGTAAAGAGAAAGACTTATCTAAAAAGAATCCTTGTCAAACTGAGATGTCTCTTATACACCTGTACATTTCATACACTAGCAAATAGGGTTTAATCCCATGAAGTTTTTTTACAAAGTACTTTGAGATCTGTTGATAAAATGTGATCTACCTGCCTACATCTTGCCCCGTTCCAGAGGGATTTTAGGCAGTTTAGGGAGACTTTGTGGAGTGAGTCAGAGTGGTACCAATGGAAAGTGGGAGTGAAAGAAAAAACCAAGGGCAGACCCATAAAATGGAATCTAGAGTGAGGTTTGTGCAGGAGCATGGGCGGTGGTGCACCCTTACCAGGACTGATCATGCATATCCCTCTGAGCTTCCCAGCAGCCAGTTACTGAGCACGGTGCCCGTGCGGTAGAGAATATACCCCGTATCTCAGCACAGGGGAGGCTTCCTCATCCAGGACCAGCTGAGACTGACTTGCTACCCCTCCCCCAAGGGACCTCCCCCTCGTCGAGCGTGCACGGTGTGACATGGGGCAGTGTCCATCTAGACAAGGCTGCTTAACCTCAGCGTGACCTTGGACTTCCGCAGCTGCGTTTCTGTTGGTGTCAAAGGCTTTAGTGAGGTTCTTCCAGATTGTGAAGGACAGAGAGAAGCCAGATAAGTGGGTGTTTGGAGCTGGAGGTACTCAGGGAACAGGACCCGTCCCCCAGCCTCAGGCGGGCCTGGTGGACGCTGCTGCTCTGATAGAAGCAGTGTTGCTCGCACGGCCCTCAGCCTGCTGTCTCGCCGGAGCCAAACCAGAGGGCTGGCCTGGGTAGGCCCCCCACTCGTTGGCCAGGGCTCTGAGGCTGGCCTGGGGTCAGGCCCCTACTGTGGCATCAGGAGGTGGCTGACGGTGGCTTCTCAGAGGGGAGGGAGCATGCGGCAGGTGGCAAGTATCTGGCGGGTCCCTCTGGGGTTGAGATCCTGCTGAGCTGCTCGGCACAGGGGTCACTTGAGGGGCCAGCATGTGCCCTCAGTCCCCAAGCAGTGTTTGTCCCCATTGGCCATTGAAGAACTGCAGAGCAAGGTGAGCTTCAGACTGGGTCGCTCCTCACACATCTGCAAAAGGGGGTCACATTGTTGGGCAGGACAGATGATGGGGGCAGGGAGCCGCGCACCAGGACCGGCTGGTCCCCTGTCCCTGAGCAGCCCCCATCAGCAGGTCAGTCCTGAGGGTCCGTGTGGGACTAGAGTCCTGCCGGCCCCGGGGTGCCGGGTTCTCACCATGGGCACCGGCAGGCACTGGGAGGAATAAAAGGCAGCTCTGGATCTCAGGTGAAACCTGGAGACACAACTGCGCGTGTGCGTGTGCAAGACAGGGAAGCAAGCAAGACTCGAGGAGCTGAGGCTGCTCTTTTGAGGACCCTGCATCTGGAACTTTAGCCTGTATCCTGGCCTTGCTGTTTTCTGGCTCAGTTCAGTTCAGTTCAGTCGCTCAGTCGTGTCCGACTCTGCGACCCCATGGAGAGAAGCACGCCAGGCCTCCCTGTCCATCACCAACTCCCAGGGTCCACCCAAACCCATGTCCTTTGAGTTGGTGATGCCATCCAACCATCTCATCCTCTGTCGTCCCCTTCTCCTGCCTTCAGTCTTTCCCAGCCTCAGGGTCTTTTCCAGTGAGTCATTTCTTCGCATCAGATGGCCAAAGTATTGGAGTTTCAGCTTCAGGTGAATATATTCCAATGAATATTCAGGACTGATTTCCTTTAGGATAGACTGGTCGGATCTCCTTGCAGTCCAAGGGACTCTCAAGAGTCTCCTCCAACACCACAGTTCAAAAGCATCTAATGCTTATTTGGGACACATTCCTTTTTTCATTATTTATTGAGCTACTACTCTGTGCTCGGCTATCTAGGCACTGGGACTACAGCTGTGGATCAGACATGGCTCCTCGTGGGCTGACGCCCAACGGAGGGAAGAGTCAGACAGTAGGCATGGGATTCTTAGGTAGCAAGGTGGTGGTGGGGTAGGCAGTGTCACCCTGACCAGCCTGGCACTGAGCACTGGCTGGGGGGACCTCTGGGACCTGGGGTTGATGTCCCAGCCCTGTCCGTGCCTTGCTGTGTGACCTGAGACAACTCAATTCTGGGTCCTCTGGGCTCATATTCCACATCTGTAAAATGGGATCAGTAGGTCCCGCCCTGTCCATCCACGAGGGTCACACAAGAGGCAAGTAGAAATGAAAGGCTTTGCAAACTGTAAAGTGTGGTTAGGGAACCTCGACAGGCTTGCATTTGTGGTCCAGGTGAGCCAGGCACGGGGGCAGGGAATCAGGGCTGAGGTCTGCTCCATTCTAACGTGTTTGTTGAAAGGAGGAATTCATGGGCACAATAGCTTCGGCACGGAGGAGGGGGCGGTGGGCAGTTGGTGGTCGGTCACACGGCCACCCTTGGGCTCACCTGGTCTCCTGCCCCTCAGCCTGGGACTACAGCCAGGGCTTCGTGAACGAGGAGATGATCCGGGACCACCTGCCGCCCCCAGAGGAGGAACCACTGGTGCTGATGTGCGGACCGCCCCCCATGATCCAGTACGCCTGCCTGCCCAACCTGGACCGCGTGGGCCACCCCAAGGAGCGCTGCTTCGCCTTCTGATGGACGGGCCCTGGCCGCCAGGCCTGCCCGCTCTCATTGTGCCCTGGCCGCACCCACCCCTCCTGCCGCTGTCCGTTACCACCACCCGCCCTGTGTCTCCTGCTGTGGCCGGGTTCAGCCTGGCCTGCCCATGCCTGGGGGGTCACCCCGCTGGGCTGGCCCCTAAGGGGCCCCCTGGGAGCAGGTGTCTGTTACAGGTGCGCCGCCGTTGCCACCTTTAAGGCAGATCCCTGTCTAGGCCTCGCTGGAGATGTTCCTGCCCTTCCCCCCCACCCCAACACACACACTACTAGGCAGAGGCTGCCAGTACCACACTCCCCAACCTCCCCAGAGCATCCCACACCTTGGAAATAAGCAGAAATGTACAGGCATCCCTTAGCTACAGGTCCCAGGCCCTCACCCCCAGCCTCAGACCCTCGCCTGCCGCCCCTGCCTGCTTCAGGGCCACAGCCAGACTTCCACACCTGATACTACGTGGTAGCTGACACCCCTTGGCAGGGGCTGCTGGGGTGAGAAATTGCCCCCATCCACCCAGGGCCCAGCAGGGAGGTAGGCTGTCCCTGGGGCTGGTGTGGGAGGAGGGGGCTGGCCAAGGGCCCTTCCAGCTGGCACATGGGCCCTCCCAAAACCTCAGCAAAAACACCCCAACATTCGGACAGCTTTGGAAGTTCCAAGCAGTCCACCTCCCATCGACTGCCTTAGCGTCCCGGGCAGCCAGCCCTGAGGGCAGAGCTGAGATGGTGTGCGTTTACTCATCCGTCCCAGAGGCCCCTGCTGCCCCTGCCCCAAGTCAGGGAGATTTTGAGCAGAGCCCCTTGTCTGAAGGACATTCACAGTGGCCTCGATGTTGCCTTAGACACAGCGTGTTAGCCTCTTGCATATCGGCTTTTTCAGAATCATTTATGAGCAAACATAACATTGAAGTAAAACTTTGCTAGTTTGAACCCTTTTGGAACTCCTAGAGGCTCTGTGTTCTACGTTGTTGGGGGTGGGGGTGGGGAAGGGGCTGTGCAAGACCTGGCATTTCTTTCTGAGGTTTGTTTGTGTTTGTAGTAGAACTCTGGGGAACTCCTTGACTGTTTGTCCACTCCGTGCTTCCACTGCAGGGGGCACGGGTTCTAGCCCTGGTCAGGGAACTAAGATTCCACAGGCCCTGCAGCATGGCCAAAAAAGAGAAAGAAAATTTGTGGAGAGTACAGAAAAATATACACAGGAAAAGAAATATTCACAGGAAAAAATATATATGCAGGAAAAATAAAAACTATACCCAGGAAAATAGCGGACATCCAGAGGCAAACACTTAGAACTTAGATGAAACCACACAGTCCACTGTGCGGCCGCTGCTTGCCCTAATGGCAGGTATGCTTTCCCTCTGTGGTCAGAAACTTGCCATAGGCCTGCTGGATCATGGATTTTTGGTAGCAGATCCCTGCTGTTGGACAGTTGGGCTGTTTCGTTTGTGGATTTGTCAATAAGAGTGGCTATCTTCAGCCTCCTCTCTGGTGGTTTCTTTTAGGATAGACTCCTGGAAAACAGTGTGGACACTGGGAGTTCAGCATCTGTCACACCCAGTCTTGCACAGATCATCTCCGCCGTGTCAGAAGGTGTCCCCCGTCCTAACTTCAGACAACCCCATGTGACCCATCTTTTCCATTGTACACTCTCCTCTGGACACCCTGAAAGAAGTAGAAAGAAGTTAGTAGCCCCCCTCTCCCACAGAGAGACTGAGGCTGAGGGCAGTGAGTGGCTTTCAGGGTGGGGGGGTGGCCCGAGGTGAGGCAGGTGTCCTGTGGAGGCTACAGGTAGAGAAGGGAGTTCCTTCATTGAGGGTCCAGGTAAAGAATCTGCCTGCAACGCAGGAGACCTGGGTTTGATCCCTGGGTCAGGAAGATCCCCTGGAGAAAGGCATGGCAACTCACTCCAGTATTCCTGCCTGGAGAATCCCTTGGACAGAGGAGACTGGCAGGCTACAGTCCATGGGGTTGCAAAGAGTCCGACCCCGACTGAGCAACTTCCACTTTTAACAGCCCCTTTACTCACCTGAGGTGAATTCACAGGGTGATAGATATCACCTACCCATACAGAATTTTTAAGAAATAAACGCAAAGCTCCAACTATATTATAAAAGCAAAAAAAAAAAAAAAAGCAAAGGAGGCGATCCAGGTTAAGACTTAGTGCTTCCACTGCAGCGGGTAACAAGTTTCATCTCTGGTCGGGGAACGAAGATCTCACATGCCCTTGGGCCATAAGAAAAGAAAGGAATGTATAAAGTGATGCACATTTCAGCATGTCAGTGCTGGGCGCAGGCCCCGGAGGAAGCACCGGCCTGTGCCCAGACACAGGGGCTCCGCCCAGCGCAGTCTCGCCTCCCGGGCTCTGCCTCCCCGATGCAGTTCTCCCAGGCCCAGGCCCAATCCTTGCTTAGTCTCCTAGGAAGGCAGGACCCAGTACCTTTGGCTACAGCGCAGTTGCACTGCTGGCAATCCATGTGTATTCTCACCGGACAAAAAGTCCTGCGTGTTCGTACAAGAAACGGAGAGAAACCCCGGCCCAGAGAATCGTAACCGGCGCCTCCGGCCCCAAACGTCTGGGGCATGGGAGGGCCAGCGGGACGCCCCACCCCGTGCACCCTTCACGTGACCAGATCCCCGCCGCCGGAGCCGCCAAGTGCGACCCGAGTTGCGAAACCTCCCTGGTGGAGGGCCATCCTGCTCACTGTCACAGATACGGTATCAGTTAAGGACCCTACTGTAGTAGTTTAGGGGGCCGGCATCCAGTTTCGGCAGTGCAGAGGCGACCTGGATTTTCCCCCTCCGTCTGAAGCCCAATCTCAGACCCCCTCCGGCTTCACCAGCTCGTTTTTCCAGTGACCTTCCGATGCCGGATTTTTTATTGTGTTGTGGTGCTCTGTCAAGAGTAACTAACTCCACTGGCAGGACTTAGAAAAGATTAACAGTAGTGACTCATAGGGTACTTAATCCGTGCTTGGCACTGTGCTCAAGGCATTGCCTGTATTTTCCATTGATTGTGTGTGTTAATGTCTCAGTCGTGTCCGACTCTGCGACTCCATGGACTGCGGCCCACCAGGCTCCTCTGTCCTTGAGATTCTCCGGGCAAGAATGCCAGAGTGGGTTGCCTTGCTCTCCCTCCTCCACGGGGGCTTCCCAACCCAAACAGAGACTGAACTGAACCCTCGTCTCTGGCATTATACGCAGATTCTTTACCGTCTGAGCCACAAGGAACCCAGGTTTCATTAACTCCTCAGATACGACTGAATACCCATCTCATGCCAGGGTCAGTGCAGGAGGTTCAATGAAAAGGTAATTCCACATGTTGCCCACTTAAGTCGCAAAAGCCTGTGTTGTTTGCCCCCCTTTCACACTACAGACCAGCAAGACACAGGTACAAACATACACATGAAGAAAAACGGCTGGCTTCTGAAGATTATACAGCCTGGAAGTGTGACACGTGAGACTGGCAGCTGTTTGACCCCTGACCCCATGCGCTGTACTCAAACACAAATAGCTAACGTTAAAAATGTCAGCTGCCCACGCAATCGCCTTTTAAAAACAGGAGCAAATTGGCCGCTGTAAACTTAATCCGTAACAAACATACCACAATGATTACTTTCGACTTTAATCCCGTATTATACACACCCAAACTGTTCTATTTTTTAAAGTAAAAGGGGGACGGGCAGATCGCGACTCCCAGGCATCCCGCAAAGTAGGCGGGTCACCTTAGGGGCAACCTTTACCCGCTCAAAAATTCGTCTCACATTAGCAGTGAGGATTCGGGCGTCACCCCGAATCGTTATTTTCCTTACTCATAAGTTTAAGGCATAAAGACGTACCTGTCTTACTTCCTAGGTAATGAATCCCATTCTCATTAGCAATACGGTGAGTATAAAAGTGGAACGTTGAAGGCCGCACTTTGTTCGGTGAAGGTTGCCTTATTCATTTCATTGTTTTGTGTCGCTTTTCATTTTACTATTTTTTTGTTGTGAGAGAGGGGGAACGGCAGGGCCACAATATGCAGATAAGCAACCGGTTCGCAAAGGTTCACGGGGAGAGCCCCGCCCCTTCCGGTTCCTTTCTCAGTCTGAACTGTCGCGAGAGTTCATCTACCGAACGCCGGAAGCCGCTAGTCGCTCCACAGCGGCCGAAGGGGCGGGCTCGAAGGTTGAGGGAACCTAAGCTGCTCTCGGCTCGCTCGGCGGTGCAAGATGGCCGACATCTCTCTGGATGAGCTCATCCGAAAGCGAGGAGCTGCAGCGAAGGGGCGGTGAGTGGCCTTTTCCCCTTCGGGTTTCGGGGTCCTGGTCTTAGCGGGGCTTGGGGCGGAGGAGGGAGCGGCCCGGGAGCTACGCGGAGGGCCGGTCTGCGCCCGCCCCCTACCTCAGCCGCGCTCCTCATTGGCCCGGCCGCCGTCGCCGCCGCGGGCCAGGTCGCCCGACTCCCCACTGGCTGCAGGCGCAGTCCCTCCGGCTGGCCGGAGGAGGCTGGTGGGGCCGCCGCTGATGAAGGGGTAGGGCTGCTGGGCTTGTGCGAGCGGCCCGAGGGGCGGCCCGCCGAGGGCGGAGCTGCGGCCGCGGACGGGACACGTTGCCCCGCGGCCTGCCTGGGGTCCTGAGGGTCTCCCCGGCGCACCTCGTCTCTGGCATTATACGCAGATTCTTTACCGTCTGAGCCACAAGGAACCCAGGTTTCATTAACTCCTCAGATACGACTGAATACCCATCTCATGCCAGGGTCAGTGCAGGAGGTTCAATGAAAAGGTAGTTCCACATGTTGCCCACTTAAGTCGCAAAAGCCTGTGTTGTTTGCCCCCCTTTCACACTACAGACCAGCAAGACACAGGTACAAACATACACATGAAGAAAAACGGCTGGCTTCTGAAGATTATACAGCCTGGAAGTGTGACACGTGAGACTGGCAGCTGTTTGACCCCTGACCCCATGCGCTGTACTCAAACACAAATAGCTAACGTTAAAAATGTCAGCTGCCCACGCAATCGCCTTTTAAAAACAGGAGCAAATTGGCCGCTGTAAACTTAATCCGTAACAAACATACCACAATGATTACTTTCGACTTTAATCCCGTATTATACACACCCAAACTGTTCTATTTTTTAAAGTAAAAGGGGGACGGGCAGATCGCGACTCCCAGGCATCCCGCAAAGTAGGCGGGTCACCTTAGGGGCAACCTTTACCCGCTCAAAAATTCGTCTCACATTAGCAGTGAGGATTCGGGCGTCACCCCGAATCGTTATTTTCCTTACTCATAAGTTTAAGGCATAAAGACGTACCTGTCTTACTTCCTAGGTAATGAATCCCATTCTCATTAGCAATACGGTGAGTATAAAAGTGGAACGTTGAAGGCCGCACTTTGTTCGGTGAAGGTTGCCTTATTCATTTCATTGTTTTGTGTCGCTTTTCATTTTACTATTTTTTTGTTGTGAGAGAGGGGGAACGGCAGGGCCACAATATGCAGATAAGCAACCGGTTCGCAAAGGTTCACGGGGAGAGCCCCGCCCCTTCCGGTTCCTTTCTCAGTCTGAACTGTCGCGAGAGTTCATCTACCGAACGCCGGAAGCCGCTAGTCGCTCCACAGCGGCCGAAGGGGCGGGCTCGAAGGTTGAGGGAACCTAAGCTGCTCTCGGCTCGCTCGGCAGTGCAAGATGGCCGACATCTCTCTGGATGAGCTCATCCGAAAGCGAGGAGCTGCAGCGAAGGGGCGGTGAGTGGCCTTTTCCCCTTCGGGTTTCGGGGTCCTGGTCTTAGCGGGGCTTGGGGCGGAGGAGGGAGCGGCCCGGGAGCTACGCGGAGGGCCGGTCTGCGCCCGCCCCCTACCTCAGCCGCGCTCCTCATTGGCCCGGCCGCCGTCGCCGCCGCGGGCCAGGTCGCCCGACTCCCCACTGGCTGCAGGCGCAGTCCCTCCGGCTGGCCGGAGGAGGCTGGTGGGGCCGCCGCTGATGAAGGGGTAGGGCTGCTGGGCTTGTGCGAGCGGCCCGAGGGGCGGCCCGCCGAGGGCGGAGCTGCGGCCGCGGACGGGACACGTTGCCCCGCGGCCTGCCTGGGGTCCTGAGGGTCTCCCCGGCGCACCTCCCTCCTCCTCTGAGTAGACGGGCGCGGCGCCAGGGTCTCAGCGCGGCCTTCGAGTTAGGACGACTGGAGTTTCTCGGGGAAGTGACTTGCTCAGACTCCGGGTCTGAATTCCTACCGAAACTGCGACTCAAAGCCAGACCTTTAAAATTTTCAAATTCTTCGCCCGGCTCCCCGCTGTTCACACTCGCGGCCTTTTGTGAAGCATTTCAGGTTCTCGGGGGTCGCTTTGCCGCCGGCTCGCAGTCCTGTCAGCCAGCTATTAATGTTTTCCAAATGAGGGGCTTGAGGTGGAATTTGCCCACGGCCGCGGAGAGCTCAGAGCGGGGCCGAGTGCGCTCTGAGAGTTGGCCTCAGGCTTGGGCAAGACAAACTGGCGGGATGGGGCAGGAGGCCGGCCGTTTCTTGATGACTCTGAGAACCCTGTTCAGTGTCGGGGTAAAGAGTCGCGGAGCTGGTTTGCAGTTCTGTGACCCAAGCTTCCTCTGGACACTCAAAATAATGGTAGTCATTTCCAGACTCAACAGGGGCTCCAGTTCATCTGTGTGAAAGAGATGGGAAACCTGGGCCAGTGGTTTTCTAGCACGCGTTAGATTAGTTCAGATGTCCTTGTGGAGAAGCCAGGCTGTAAAGAAGGATGTTTTCTCAGACAGTCGTTCACCCGGCAGATGTTTATTAATACCGCCTGTGTGCCCGTGGCTGGAAAATTGATTCTTTTCATTGTGTAAGGTATCCCTCACCCTCAACCTGCACACACACATCCACCACAACTGCTCCCGCCCCCGCCTAATTCCCCAGCCAGCCCTTCACGAGGTTTCTGGTTCATAATAGGCACGCATCATTAATTTCCTCTATCCTTGTGGTTGTGTCTTGTGCGATTCTTGGCGACCCCATAGACTATAGCCTGCCAGGCTCCTCTGGTCCGTGGGATTTTCCAGGCAAGAGTATTGGAGTGTGTTGCCACTTCCTTCTCCAGGGCTTCTTCCCCTCCCAGGGATTGAACTCGCATCTCTTGTGTCCCCTGCATTGGCCAGCAGATTTTTTACCACTGCGCCACCTGGGAAGCCCTCTTTTAGGTCTGCCCTCTAGTAACTGGCATGTAATTGGTACTGGGTCCTCTGGTCACTTCTAAGCCCATCCAAGTTTCACAGGTTTGCTGGACAGTTGCTGAGGAAGCCAGCTTCCCAGGACCTGGGCTTCCTGCAGACTCTCCCCATAGTTCCTGACTGCAGGCAGTCTGTACCTGCAGTTGGTGTTGATGTGTGCAGTGTCTTGTGTTAGGCCTTGGATGGGACTGCAGGGAAGGGAGGATGTGTGGATCCATGACAAGAGTGGAGACTCTGCAGCTAGGCAGACCTGGTCCCTAAGAGTGTATGTTTTAAAGTTTGTGTCAGATAGTAAGTGTTCAGCGGATGGCTTTAAAGGAGTAGAAGCCCAAATCCCTCCTCTAGGGGACATAATAAGTAAGCATTGGGGTCCTAGAGTCAGACTGCCAAGTTTCAATCCCACTTGCCATATGAAAGTTACTTAACCTTGCCATGCCTCTCTTTTCTTATCTGTAAAACATGGATAATATTTACTGGGTATTGTCAGGACTAAGTGAATTAATGTATCTAAAGTACTTCAGAAAGCATCTAATCGGTACTAAGTGCCCAGTAGATGTTAGCTCTCATCATTATTGTTAATGAAGGCTTTTAGGGAAAGAAGTAATATCCAGTCTTCAGTGTGAGAATATTGCATTGCTATTATGTGAAGATTGAATTGGGGGAAATGCAGGCCAAGAGACAGTGTGAAAGAAACTGGACCACATGCTGGGTTTGGATTAAACTTACTGGAAACTCCATTTTGCTTGTACAGCCAACAGAGAAAAACTAGATGGGGGTGAGGGGGTTAGGGTTCTTGTCAAGAACTGTGAAAGGTCTGAACAAATGGCATTTCCTACAGTAAAAAAATGCCGTTCTACTTGCTTCTTAGAAGAAATCTCCTTACTGGCACCTTGGTGTAGTGTAGGGATGTTGCAGAGAGAACTTTGTGCTTAATAATTTAGGAAGAGCCCGTGACTATCTCAGAAAACTTCTTTCCTCTTCTTAAAGGAAATAGCAAAGGACTGAGCCTCTGCAAGTGTAAATAACCCCCTTCTCAAAAGTCGTGGAATGTGCTTGTTCTTCAGAACAGCCATTCTGTTTTGTGTTCATTGTACAGTGTAAGTCAAGAAAGGTGTCATATGTAACATCATTATTATTTAGCCCTTAATCAATCATCAGAAAGTTCTTTGATTAATAGGAGATTCGAGAAAGTGGGGAATTATTTTATAATACTTCATCCAGGCTGTGGTGAGGTGCTATCCTTCCTCTCACACAGCATATCTCTAGTGATTTCGGTTGTTCAAGACCCATAGATGAGTCTCCGGTAGCACTGGGCGCCAGCTGCAGTGTGGGCCTGCCTCTCTTGTCAGTTTCTTCCTTTGGATGTAATTGGTTAGTCAAGGCACCCTCCTCTTTGGTTTGCTTAGTTCAGCGCTCGGAGGATAGCTGTCACTGCTTCCATGCAGGTAGATGGTGACCGGCAGTCTTAGCGGGGAAGTTGGGCCTAGAGTGTGCTGGAGGTGAGTGGCTCTGAGCTAGATATATATGTGGAGAATCCTTGAAGCTGTGGGGAGAGGAGGTTAGGGAATTTTCCAGTTCAGACCAGGGCACTGCTCCCAGTACTCTGCTGGTTTCCTTATTGAAATAAGGTAAAAGAAATTAGACCTAAAATAAAGAGGAGGGAAATGAGTTGTTACATTAGCTTGGAAGGGAAGAATTGTAATTTAAAATGAAACATTTGCATAAAGGTAAGGGGGTCCTGCCTTGTTTTTTCTTGTGTTTCTAAAGCACATAGTTCAGAATTGACCCTCAGTAATTGTTAGAACTAAACTCTATTTTCTAAGATGACCTCAACACACACATTTTAGAGACCCCATGGGTTAAAACCCACTTTGAACAATTTAGGGTCCCTCCAAATCCTTTGGACTGTACATCTGTCCAGAGCCAGGGGCCATTGTGCCCTCCACAGGCAGATCCAAGAGGGTGAGGCATTCCTAGCCCCAGACAGACCTTCCCTGGTCATGTGTCTGCCAGGTTCCAGTGGAGGGGGTTTCTGAGGAAGAGGGCTCAGGCTCCAGTAAGTGTCTGCTCTCTTG